AGGTGTGTGTGTGTGATTATGGTAAAGCCTCGAGGGCTATCTGCATAAGGGGAGGGATGCTTCGTGGAGGACTTTCTAAGGGAAACTGGCTCGTTATACACTTTACAGATGGGAAAAATCACGAAAACGCACCTGCAGCCAGCCCGTTCGCGGGATTCGAACCTCGGACTGAACTACCAGTGTTCAGCGACTTTACCGCTTGGCCGCTGGTGGGCAGCTTTAGTAGAAGGAATACTTGAAAAATTAAATTTAGGAATAATTCTGAAATTTTGCATTCAATGAGAAGGATGTAATTTATTAATAATTAAGTTTTAAATCAGGCAAAATGAATGTACAACTGTCATCTATTACTTCGATTAATTAATCTATTATTTCAATTAATGGTCAGTAGCAGAAGAGATTAAAAAGCATTTATGCCTAAAAGAATTATATGTTGTAATTTAAATGAATAACACAATTAAGCATGAAAATTTTTAATTATTTTTAATTAATATTGGATAGCTTGTGATAACTGAATTTAAGTTCATTGTTAAGTTATATCTGTAATTTTTTTTTTAGAATTTGAGGAACTATTTATTTAGAATTGTTTATTAAAACAATTTCATTAAAATATTTTAATTGTAATCATATCCAGTTACAGTCTCTTTAGATTACACTGTTGGAGAAAAGGAGATTGGTTTGGTTTAGTTTATTTAAGTATGGCAAAGCACACTAGGGCTATCTGCCTAAGGGAAGGGATGCCTTTGCGGAGGACTTTCTAAGAGAAACTGGCTCGTATACACGTTACACATAGGGAAAACCACGAAAACGCCCATGCAGCCAGCCCATTCGCTGGATACGAACCTCGGACCGAACTACCAGTGTTCAGCGAGCGGGTGGAAAAGGAGGAATTCTAGAATATTACTAATTTATTGCCGAAAAACCCTTAAATATAATACACCAGTTTTTTTTCCAGCTATTTCATGATGCATATGTAACTTTCAGATGTCTTAAAATTCAATAAAAGAAAAATAAAGCAGATGTAAGAAAAGCATAAAAGCATAAAATTTGAGCTTCTTTTTAACATTGGGAATTTTTTGAAAAAAAATGCTGTATATCTTTTAGAAAATCTATATTTTTCCTTAAAACAACTTAATAATAATTAAAGTTACATAACTTCCCTTTCCCCACAAATAAATAAATGCAGCATGTTTCGTGGAGCTATTATTAGGTTATTTCGAAGCAGGAGATGGGAAAAATGAACAATGCCCTCGCCGAGACTCGAACCACGGACCTCTCGAAAACGCATCGAGCGTGCTGACCACTACACTACGAAGGTATGCTAAGAAGGCGGAAGAAATGCCTTATAACCTAAATAAATTTAATAAAAAATGCAAGGACTGCTTTAGAATGTATTAGTTTGCACTGATAAAATTAACGGATTCAAAGCAAAATTCAGCTTTGTAAATTTGTGATGAAAAAAGTACCCTTGAAATGTTTAGCTGATGTTAAGAACTGATAGATCTTGTAGATCGCTTGAGAGAAAACTTCCTCACTGTTTTGAAGTAATAAAGACAAGGAAATTCGATTGTGGTCGAAATCCAATTGCATCTTCACTGGGCCTTCGATTTGTCAATGAAAGTAAAAGAGTTATTTGACTTAAAAGTGATCGCATCATTGAAGATGAGTTTAAGGATGTTCTATTATTTTGTAGTGTTCCTCCCTTTTATTTTACTAAACTAGGTGTTGAGGAACCTAGTGAGCTACTAAGCGAATAATCGCTTAAGTCCATGAACAGAAACCTAAACTCAAGAAGGGTTTATTACCGTTTATTTGCTGAAAATAAAGATTTTACAGTTGGTCCCTCTCTCAGGGCATACAGAAAAGCCTCCACTTGGGCTTGAACACAAAAAATGAGAGTTAACTAATGACTAACTAAAGAGATTTAGCCGAAGCTAACACAATTCTAAACTAGTTGCCCCTTGATATTAACTCAGCCAGCGAAGGCACGTAGTAACGGCCGAGCGTAGTAACAGTTAAGGGAGGCGTAGCCAAAATTCAACGCCCGCTATTCACGAATCCTAACTCTCGCTCCTGAAGTCAGTGGAGCTTAAATACTTTCTACTTCTCAATTGAATTTAACGCGATTCTAAAAACTCATTCTGGTAAGGAATTGTAAGCAGAAGCTAGAAGAGATAGGAAAGTGTCATAAACTTAAAATAACTGTTATAAAATTACCTTACAACTTCAATGCTGGATAAATGCAAAAGAAAAAAAAAAAAAGTTTCCATCCATCGGCGAAAAAGATATAAACATCTTTTACTGTTTGCTGTAGCATACATTTGTGAACAAAGTTTCTCTTCTACGCTTATTATCAAGAATTTAAGTGCATCATCACTGAAAAGGATCTTGAGCTAAGTATAGCTCCTTCGATCATATATTCATATATAAAAATTCTGTTTTGATAGGGACAAGACCAGTACCTGATTGAAATAAGGAGGTAATATATTAATACAAATAACTGTGGCAAATGGAAATACTCATAGATATATTTATTAATATTTGATTGTTTATCATTTTATTAAATTATTATTATTAACATATTTGTACATAGTCAGAAATTTTGTATACAGTTAATTTTTTTTTTCGTATTTTCACATCACAATTTCATAAATGAATGTTTTAAAAATACAATTCCAGTCTTGCTTAATCAAATCTGATAATTTAGTTTCTGATAATTTAGGTTATAGTAAATCTGATAATTTAGTTTATAGTTGCGATATAAAAACTGTGGCAAAAATCAGTCACTGAGAATGTGCGAATTAAGTATTTCCCTTTTATTTATTTCATTTAAATTGTAGAAATGAGATTATATATGCTTTTGAGATGTACAGTGGCATGAAAAAGGTTGGAAAACACTAATCGAGTTCGCTCACATTTCTTATGCATTACTAAGATTATACACCAAGCAAGGTACTTATATTATTCCTTATTTGGTTCATTTATATTTTATTGGCAAATGAAAAATTTACTGTCTTATAAAGCTAATAAATGCTTTGTTTCTTGCATAATTAAAGCACTTATAGGGTATGTTTCTATCGCCCAGAAAGAAAAGATTTTCATAGATAGATTAAAGCAGAATATTTTCGTACTAGACGCCATTATTATAGACTTAAATTACTTCTGATTAGTATATCTTGATGTAATCATATATTTTCTGTAAAAATTAGAATTAAATCTTTGTACAGTATATTCGAAATATAAGAAAATAATATACGTTTTTTGTTTTTTAATTTAAAGACGGAGCATATTGTGAGTATTTTAAATTTCTGAGACATTTTAAAAATTATAACATTTAATTGTAAATGATTTTAAACGGAAATGAAAGCTATGAAACAGCGATATTGATAACGCAGCAGCAGAATTTTGGTTTATAGTCTGAGAAGTCGTATGTTTGCTTCCGGAGCAGATCTTCTTTCAGATTTGCTTGAAATATTTCACTTATGATGAGATTATAGGATCTTTCGTTAATAGAATATGAACCATTTAAGATGTCCACGAAATTCTATCAGTCTTCTGAAATAATCTTTCCCATTCCGAAACATCACGGGTCGAAAACATCACGGGCGTGAGATTTATACAAAATACACTGTTTTTCATTTTTCTTTTTAGCAGGTAATCTGCTGTTTAATATTCTACTATTTCCTGCTCGATACGTAATCGAAGAAATCTTCGAGTAATCATCTGTTTATACCTGCTATTCAAACTCTCGACTACAATTTATAGAAATTCAAATGCTACAGAATATCAGCTACACAAAGATTGTTAAGTGCATTCAATAAAGAGAGCTACAATTTGCACGCGATTCAGACATTAGATGTCCAACCAGACTTAAATCCTCAGAATAATTCTGAGTACAAATATTCATACTGTGAGGAATAAATGCTAAATATATCCAAGATGGTAATTATACATTCTTAGCCTGAAGTTACAGAAATTTCTAACTGTCCTCGAAATTAAATGTCTAAATAAATAAACCCTAGTTTGAGACAACTTCTCCGGAAATCTGGTATACCAAGTCATTCCAAGCCTTTAAATCGTTTCCGCAGCTGAAGTTACTTTTTGTAAATTACAACAATAGCAACGTCAATTAGAAGAGGAGGAAAGCAATTCGGAGAAGTGCTTCTTTCCAGTGTGAAATGCAATTCAATTTATAACTGGCGCTTTTCTTCTACGCGCTTTTATAGAATACCTCATTAACATATATCACTCCCATCTGGGGAAAAAATAAGAACTTTTAGAGCAGTAAAACAAACCTTACTTCCTTTGGAAGCATGACTGTAATTTTATTATAATCAATAATAATAAAAGCAAAAAACGTAAATGCTAAATGCCTGAACAATAAAATGTCTAGAGCTTTCTCCGATGCTATTTGAGGGGGAAAAATTCTCCTTATTTAATTTTAATAGCACATTTGCTCATGCTCGTTTATTTCATCTTCAAAAAACGAATTTAATTTTTTGTCGTATGTTAATTCATTAAATAGATAAGAAGGTTTATCGTTTATTTACTTTCAAACTGCGTGTTTTCAAAACTTCAAAGAAAACAAAACTCAGATAATTTCTTTTTTCATTCTTTGAGATGGCAGAAAAATATTAAATAAATAATGAGACAATATTTAATCGAATTTATATAAGGACTGTTAAAGTAGCATCTTAATGATTTATCGTAAAAAATATAAACAAGAGTTTCAGAACCTGCGTTGGCTCATTTTATAGTTGAGTAACATCGATATCGAAATGGTAGCGATCATGTGGATGACACCACAAAAAGCGGTGATATGCGGCGACTGTGGAAAGTGCGAAATTTGTTGGAGTGTTTGGCATTTAAAAGCCTATTTGTTTGCCGGGCCAACCTCGTCACAACCCACTCCAACAAACCATCTGTAAAGATGGGAAAAAAATAAAAAAGAAGAGAGGAGCGCGCTTGCGCACTGCCGGCGAGGGAGAGGCTGCCGAGGATCGGAAACCGGAGAGCAGCATATTGCTGTCCGCGCTAATCGATATCTGAACCCAAACACTAGCAGTCGAAGCGAGCGCTGACCTGGAAACGAAGCGGCAAAAAACGACGGGGGTTCGCTTGGGGCATCCCCTCGAACGCGATGCCAGCAGCAGCAGACGATGCAGCGAGCATCAGACGATGCAGTCACTGAAAGTGTAGCGCTGCTGCTACGACATACCATCATAGACAGAGACCACGACTGTGAATTTTATCATCAGCTCGCCGGCAATATGGCGGGACTGTACATCGGGGGGACACCTGTGTCCCTTATCACCATCGCATGTGGGACCTTTTTGTAGCAGTGCCTTTCTTGGAGCAGACGGAAAGAAGTATCCAAAGAGTTGCACTTTCAACATCGTGATCATCATTGCCGCTGAGTATACTTTTCTTTGCCAAAGGTCACTCCGGAAACAACTTCTCGCATAAAATGTGTTGAAAAAGTTCGAGTTATTGAACTAATATTTCTAAATTTCAAATGGACATTTTTCACCAGCTGTACAGACTCAAGCGAGAAGTGATTGCTCGACTGGTAGGGTCGTTATTATGCCTGCTTTTTTAAAGAAGACTCATTTTCAAGGTATTTGCATTCGAGAAACAATTCTTTTTTTATAATTTGTTTTGTAAATATTTGACTGTGATTAATTTAACGTGATAGCTTAAAGCAACTGCATTTTATTTCTCTTAAGAGATGTAAATTGAAGAAATGCTGCCTGAAATTAAGATTTACTTTTTAATTGAGAGGGAGCATTGATTAATACTGTTCATAATATTGATGAAAATGAAAGTTAAACGAAAAATTTTTCAAAAGGATCCTCATTTATGATTTTATTCTAGGTTTAATGATTTGACACCTTTAAGATAGCGTCTGTTAATACAATATATTGAAAACTAGGTTAAGCTGTTGCACAAGTGGAAGTTAGTTATTATGATCAAATTGGAAAATAAGTTAAATATCTTCGATATGTTATGGGATTAATATATGAACTTTTTTTGCGAATACAGCAAAAGATTTTCGAACTCACATTTATAAGCTCAAACCAATCCCAAATCTTTCACCCAATTTCTGCTTATGGATTCCTAAATTGGTGGACAAACGGGTATCAACACATTGTTCAGGACCATATTTTTTACTCATAAGACTGAATGCTGAACTGTAAGAAAATTTGAGTTAGAAATCTTGATGTCTTCTTTCTGTTGTATGGTCGCCCTTTCTCAGGCGAGAATAAAAAATAAAGATAGCTCATGCTCGAAAGGGGGTACTCTCGGCTTTAACCACCCTTTCAACCCGACCCCCTGGTCAATGCGACGACTACGTCGGAAGGAATGAAGAAACAAAACGTGCGGACATTGTCACTGATCGTGTGCACGTTTACATATCTGCTGGTGGGAGCCGCAATTTTCGACGCACTCGAATCGGACAACGAGGACCGACAAAAAGAAGCTCTTCAGTACGTTGAAAATCTCCTCATGGAGAAATACAATATTTCGCAAGAAGATTATAGGATCTGGACTACTATAGTTATCAAAAGCGTGCCCCACAAGTCTGGCATCCAATGGAAGTTTGCGGGAGCCTTTTATTTCGCTACCACAGTTCTCACCACAATAGGTATTTGTTTTACTTTCATATTTCATAATTTACCTTTCTGTTTCATTCTTTAGTCTAAAGTTTAGGCAGATAGCCCTAGCGTGATTTGCCATAATTAAATAAACCAAACCAAACCAAATTTAGTCTAGTACATTTTATATGTCAACGCATCTAATTTAATATACCTTCTGTAAGCGCACAGGTCTTTTTTACAATATACATTTACAACAATTCTTATCATACATTTATGAACTATGTTTCTATTCAATTCACTTACTGTATTTCTTGGATAGCATGTATAATGATTATCTCAATACTTATTTACCACTAAAATGCATTTTCGTTCATGAGTAATAGAGCATTTAATACACCACCCACCCTTTTTTTTTAAAATCTGAAATGCATCTGCTGAACTCTGTGCGTTTATGACTTTAAATTGTAAGTACATGAATGAGTCCCATATTTTTGTCTATGTACATAAATGTTGCAAAATTGAAGATCAGTTAAAAATCCAAAATGCAGAAAGAAAACGCCAAATGCTGAATTTAATTTTTCATGCAATTTAATCTACTGAGGGAAAAGTAATATACTACTACTATGTGAAATGTAATTACATGAAAAAACGTGTTAGTATTAAATATATATATATATATATATATATATATCTTAGTTGTACAACTATAGAAGTTATTTAGTAAGTTGGTTAGTTGTTTAGATTATTAATGCTAGGACGCTCAGTTTTTAATTTCTTAAAAAAGTACACATGAGATGTTGTATTGCGAAGGTGTTAAATATTTTTTCTGCTTTCTTATTTTATATTTATTTTAATAAATAATAAATATAACAGTGTAGCATAAGAATAAGTAAAAGTGTAAAGTCTCTAAAAAGAAGTGGGTTAAAAACTCTGTGAGTTTTTGATTATTTACCTAATTGAAACCTTATTAAAATAATACTATTAAAAATTCCGTTTATGTGTTTTGTTCTGCGTTCAAAGTTTCTGTGAAACATCTATATAAATAGAAAAAAAATCAAAGTATAATTATATAATCTATCATCTCTACGAATTTAGAATATTTCAGATAAATATTAAGCATGAAAATATTTCATGAAAATGTCTCAAGTGAAGCCGGTTGTAAGATCTGCCTTCTCTCTGAAATGAAGCAAAATTTACACTTTGATCAGCATTAATTGTAGGAAAAAGGTGTATGTATCTGGAGAAAATCTAATCTCTCTGTTTCATGCGATAAAAATATTCTTTGCTTTAACAGAATAATTTTGCTTCTTGGAAAAGAAGTACCTACATGAGATTATTCGGAAAACCATGCAGCGTTTTTCTAAGCTCATTATCAATCTAAGTTTGAATTTCTCCAAAATTTAAAATTCAAGTTGGCGAACTTCTCTTACACTTCTACTTTCCTCTTTCGTAGTCTGCTTAATGAATTTTAATTTTTCTGAAATTTTGTTCCAATATATCTCTATTTCAATTTAAATTTATACAGCGAGCAACTAAATCTTTTAGAAAAATTTCACCAAAAATTAAGAAAATCTGAAACACCCTTGTCTTATACGATATATATGGAACATGCATTCTTTTAATGACCATTGTTCGTTTACTTGTAAATAAAATTAGGCAGGATTTGATCTAAACTGATAATATTAATGCATTAAATTTGTCATTAGCGGCTGAACGTGGCACAGTTTTTATATTTTGATTTTGTATCTACTGCTATGTTGATAAACTACCATTCCTGATTTTTAAGCTATGAAATGCAATTAGGGGAAAAAAAAAACTTATGTTAGCTGTCCAAGTACTTAGATGAGTTTCTTAAAGCATTTGACCTGAATTTTTAAAATTTTAATTTGTATCTGAAGATTGATTTGATTACACTGAGTTGTATTTGGAGATTGATTTCATTTCTATTTGATGATTGATTTAATTTGAATTTGAAGATCTTTGTTACATGAACAACTAAAATTTCTATGCTTTGTTTAAGAAAGGAACTCAGCGTTTAAAAATCTCAAATTTAAACCAGAGGAAATGCTTTTAATGCTGTACTTTAATAATGCATAAGAGCCCCTCACCAGTTGCTATATGCATAAAACCGCTGAAAACACTGGTTATTCGCCTTAATTTCGTTTCCTTGCGAATGGTTTGGCTGCTTGAGATTTTCGTAGTTTTTCCTAAGTTTAACTCGAATACATGCCAGTTTGCCTTAGCGAGTTCTTTATAAAAGCGAAAACATTTGAAGAAAATTTTCTTAGGCAAACTAGCAACGTGAAGCTTTCCTTTAGGCAGACAGTCCTTTGCGATAATCGATTAAACAAAAGCGAAAGCAATGCTCATTACGAAATGGTAAAAGTCTGTAGTCGGAAAAGGAGATTAAAAAAATAAAAGAAGTAATATAGTTACTGCTCAGTTATGTAATGTACTGATGAATGCACGTAAACTGAGGAATATTTCTGATTTGCTGGAGCTTCATGCTTGAAAATGCCATATTCAAAATATTTTGTAGAAACTGACGAATGTTAGAGATAATGAGACTGTGACCCAGCGAATTAGAGAGAAGAGAAAGCAAAACGTATCTGTAAAGAAAATTTGATAGGCAAATAATAGTACTATAAAGGTATCTGCGAATATGTTTTTATGCATAAAATACGTAATTTTTAATAAGTGCCTGCTTTGCAAAAGATTAATTTCTTTGTTTAGTATTTAAAAGCCTGTACTGAAAATTAGTATTATATTGAAAAGAAATAAATGATGAAAATAAAGTTTTATTTATGAAGTGCTGCAAGCAAAGTCAAAAACGTCCATGTTAGGTTATATTTGTATTTATGCACGCTTTTTACATAGATAATGCTTCATATTATTGTTCATCAATGACAATCCTATTATTGTTCGCCTTATAGGCAGTTTTAAGGCAGAAAATATTTTCAGAAATAAGTATTTGGGCAGGAACTGTTAAATGAGGTAAAACTGAAATAATTTTGATTGATTGGCTGAAATTAACGATTACATAAAATATTTATTAATTTATATGAAATCATGCAGTTAAAACGGCCTCTTATAATCTTTATCAGGAGAGCTAAAATGCGGATTCTTGAAACTCATACCAATGTCAATAATGTAATGTCATGTCATTTCTTGAAACAAAAGGAGGAGGAATTCATATTAATGCTAATGCAATGTCATACCATTTCTTGAAACAAAAAGAAAAGGAGGGATAGTCTTCTGAAACCATCTACTGGAATATCTTACCGCTGAAGTTACCGCAGAGTATTCCATTTCAGTAAGAAATAAATTTCAGTTGGAGTAATATTACATTTATGTGGCCTGTTGAGCAAAAGACATTTTTAACATCGTAAATTAATTTGTAACAAACTAAGAAAAGTCATTTATAACAAACTAAGAAAGTTTCGCCACCATAGTCCTCATTCATGATAGAGGTTAATTATGTTGGCGAATATGAGTAAATTATAATCAGGTCGCCACTTCTGCAAATTGAAGCTGTTATCTAGGTTTATCCGAGGTAATTATAATACATTGCGGCTGCATAGTATATGAATATGTCACAAGATAAAACACCTCGTGATTAGTTATCTATTTCTTAGATGTTTCTCATTGGTGTAATCCAACACGAGCAGATAGGCATTCAGATTTTCATTCACATATCCTAAGGAAAGTATTTCAATTGTGGAGATATACCGACACGTATGTTTCAATCTGTTGCCAAGTATGCCTTTTCTCTTTTTTTGATTCAGCTGCAGTCTTACAAGCATCACTTTAAACACGCGTGTAAAATGTTATTGTAAATAAACAATTTATCTCGAAATTTAATTACTATTTCTCAATGCACTGCGCAGTGATTTTAATTATATTATTTGAAGTTAAAATTGCAAGGAAAAGGAAAAACGAATCTGTACTTTTTTCATAGCTTCTGGGTTAGAGGAGAGAGTTATTTGTAGTTCATATAATGATGTTCCATTCTACGCATTGCATAAATAACTCATCCTATTCTTCGAAGAATACTATTTTAAGTGTCGCGAGGAATAGCTGCTCTAGGAGATGTGTGTGCCGTGTTTGTACGGAAATCTCTAGTATTTCCAAGATTCCGTGACAGGCTTTTGCTTTCCAAAATTAGTTTCAAAAACAAAAGCATCCTATAGGTATTTTTGTTTTACAATTTTTTAAATAGGTTTTAAAAACAACACTCCCGTCAAGATTTATACCTTAAGAATGACACTTGTATGTAAAAACCTGTCTCATAAAAAACAGAAAAGGAAATAAATGAGGACTATTAAAGTCTGCAGCGTTATTATTTAGAAATATATGAAATCTTGGGAAATTCTTTGAAAGGAAATATAGTCGAATGTAAATTAACACTTTCTAGATCAACGTAATCTGGGGCTTATTTATATAAACTGATTTTAAACAACTGCTCTTTTATTGTTAAATATTTCGTTTAAAATATTTTGTACCTCTGGATTGCTAGATGATATGAAAATGCTTGTTAAAAGTAATGAAAAACATCAGTAATAAATCAGAAATAAAGTTTTGAGGAATATAGTAAAGAAATATAAATGTACGACAAATCAGAGAGTCTGATTTTCAATAGTTTTTCGTTACAGTTAAAATTAATTAAGTTGTAAGAATATTTACGTAGCTATGATTTATTTAAATATTTGGAAAAGCAAACTTAGTGTGCAAGTTATTGTAAACATGTAATCAGTGTTCAGTAATTTGTTCATTTTAATGCCGTATACTATCAGTTGCTGCATTGTGGGTTGAGTTAACTGCAGATGGTTGTCGACTAACGTACGGCTATTTTTGTAACAGCACATTCTACCAACAGTTCTCATTAAAAAAAATCAACTGTAGAAGCAAGAGATTTGAATTTGACACCTTTATTAGATTTGGAAACACCGCGCATTACTCGCAGTTTCTGTGTCACCTAGCTATTCAGTCAATATACGTGCATCAGTTCTTGTGGCAAACCTTTTCTTTCATATTATACAGTTATGGA